AACTTCATGATTACAGCTGTGACAAGTATTCATTCAGTACTAATCTTTTATGTAATTATAATTCTAAAGACTGTGTTGCTTTTTTGCTCCCGTACCTCTGAGTAGCGCCATGAGGAATCGAACGTTACGTTGAATGAATATTTATGAGGAAACTTGAGTATGTAAACGGACAGTGAAGTCTGTACTCCATCGAAAATCTTGTTCTTTTATTCATAAAAACTTTTCAAGATTCTTCTGCTCTTTTGCTTTCTTGGAATACCATGGAGCAATGAGAGCTTGTTTTTTTTCCGTATTTGAAACTTTCTGCCTGGGGAAATATCTTTGCTGTGATCGCCCGACAATGGACAATTCTGTCTTATTTCGAAGCATTTTTAAAGAAGTTATACAAAAATATATACTATCAACTTCAAATACAACTAAAAAAATTCTGAATCAAAAAACTCAAAGGATTCTCGTTTTCAAAGCAACGAGGTTAACTGCCCTACGAGAATTAGTAGCGTTCAGAGCGTCGGTGCCTCAGGTTTTCTTCACTGGATGAACCGAGAAATGACCAAATTTGGTCTCGCCGGTTATCCCAAAATGTTTATGATAATATCAAATATCGTATAACTAGTAATTTCGACATAGCAATGTTCAACTTAGATGCAATAAACCTCATATTTCTTCAGACATCATCTCTTCATAGTTTTCGCTACCTCTGACACGTTTGCTTACCGTATGAGCTTGTAGTATTCGTGTTTGATTTTCCCTCACAACTTTCAGGTTTTACGATTTTTACTTTCTTAATTGAACAAATCTCATTCGATTGGCCTTGAAACCCCGCTTTGTAAATGAAGCTAAAAATAATTACGTTTAGAGGCAGGTGGGGAAACCCAAGTAAAAACAGACGTCCCCTTTTTACTAACCTTCATGAAGCAGTAGGATGAGTCCTCAGGCAGGAAATAGAACGAAAATAACCTCAGTTTGCGTCAAATATAATTGAAAACCATTTATTCATGTCAAAATTTAGGCAATATTGACACGAAACATAAGCTGCAAGAATCGTGACTCAGCCTCAATTTCTTTCCAGTCATGAATCATTGATGATTTTATTAAAAGCGCATGCAATTCTCAGCATCCAAGTTCATTGCTAGTGAAAGAGTTTCGGTAAGCAAATTTGACATGTTGATAAACACTCATTGTGGCGAATCGAAAACCTCTCTATATCAAGTTGCTAGAAACTTGTCGATAAGTTATGCTTATGCTAGAATTGTAAATGAAACAGTGAGAAACACAAAAAAACTTCCTTCCCGGCTTATTTATGCTGTCCTGCGTTTATCGCAGTTTATCAATTACCCAAAAACATAGAAGTAGCTGATAAGGAGTTTATCAAAGGACTTGAACTCATTTTGAAAAGTTCTGTGCTTGACTAAAGTCGAGGAAAGAGCTTGCTAAATTCACAATGTTTACGCACTTTTTTTTCAGGACTCTGAATTATTCATTTGTGCTACTGAATCATTCATTTGTTAAGCTATTGAGAAATAACGCTCTAAAACAAGTTTTAGATTGTTTTTATCAAGAGCTCAATTGAATTAGAATGATAACATTGGCCGTTTTTATGCTAGAGACGTTAAAGTTGTCTAAGACCTTAAAGTCGTCTCGAGACGACTTTAACGTCTTAGACAACTTTAACGTCTCTAGCATAAATGTATCTATTGGCTTTTTTTCCCATTTACATAATGAAATTTAGTTACGGCGTTAACCAGCATGATACTTCACACAAAACTAACAGCTTTCCTCCAGGCTGTAATATTTTCATATGTTTTCTCTTTAATAAAAGATAAAAGACAAAAAGAAAACACTAAAGGTAAACACTTTTAGGTAATTTTTAGCTGTATGAAATTATGCATTCACTCAGTCATGACAAGTGGATAATATTTGTCTTCCTTGCTGTGCCTACTTTAAAATGTCAGTGTTTCAGGAAATTCTTTCGAAGAGAATGGAAGCATCAGCAAGTTTCTTTTGGAAAGTTTTAAAATGTGAAGAAGCTGGCGTTTTTCGATAAAAATATACGCCCTCTTACAGTTTCCATGAAACGATTCGCATGACGAAATCCCAGGATACACAGATTAACGTACCTCACAATCACCTCGGTATTTGAAAATAAAATTAAGACCGTGTGGAATTCAAAGTTTAAGGAAGACTGATCTTCTCACCTCCAAAGAGTATGAAATAATTTTTTACGGTTCTTTTGGGATGAAAAATGTCATTAGTCATTTTTTTGTCTTTGCTTTCGGAGGTTATGGTTGAGGATGAATGTATATGACAAAGAACATTGCCCTCAATAAATCAAATTTCGTGCAAACTCAAGTCGTAATGATAAAAGAACTTACCTTGATTTGCTTCAAATTTTTTCTATAATTGCCTTTTAAATGACAAACCGTCGAAATATACCCAAGTCCGCGATATAAGCAATCTCGAGTAATATTTGACCCTATAATGTTTTCTAATTAAAGTGTAATGTTTAAAGAGCTTTTTTTTTAATGTTAATGCGGTGGTGCGACGAACTTTATAATAACAGGTGTTTCAAAGAGTCATGAAGAAATTTTTTCAAAAGAGGGAGGAGCAAGAACTAATTTTTCTTGAAACGATGTAAAAAAATAAAATTGATTTCTGTCACGTCATTGGAAGAACATAAAAAAATAAATGCCAACTGTTTGTGCCAAAAGCAATGAATAAATGGACAAAAGGGGTAGGTTTCGAAAGAAACTGGAGAGCTGAGCCGGAGGAAGGTATCATGCGATAATCTGATTTTATCAACTGAGATTGGCCTTTGGCGCTGATGAAGGATAATTATGTTTTATTAACTCAATTGAGAAAACCAAATAATCTTTCAATAAATAGATGCTCTTCATTAACCTCACTATGTAAAATATCATAATACCGAGATAAATCGACGATAAATTGAAAAATTTTCATGGTTAAAAACAGTATCAAAGGACAGATTAGTCAGTTAAAAGTCATGTTATGGATAGGCTAGCTGGTGAAGACACCACAAAGTTTAAAGAATGAAACTTGATTACTATCCCTAAATTCTGTCCAGCCAGAGACAATTTTGAAGTTTAACTAAAGCTGAACGCTAGATTGCTGGTCAGTAAATCCTTTACTGTATCAGTATCACTGATCGTTCTTAGCACTGATGAGGTTGTTGACCGCAAGCTACAATTTTTTAACTCAATCGACCGTTTACCGATCGGTTTACAAATGTTTAAACCATCTCAATTATGGAAGATATTTTCGGTTGGGTGAACACAGTTCCAATGAGATATCTCGTCACCACGTTTTCAGGAAAGCTTGCGACTATTTTTAAAGTAATTTTTAGGAAATCTGTCCTTTCTTTCTGAGTGCGTTGAAATGACGTGAATACATGTTGTGATGTCAAATAAAGTTAAAGCACGATACTTTGGTCATATTTTCTTCTCAGTGCGTGAGCGGACGGTGTTCTTTGTATCCTGCGATATTATTGGTTCCGAGAGCAGGCAGTATTCTCTGGTTGCGTGTTGACTCGCCGAGTGCATCTCTAGCTACGTTGCAATTTTTCATCAATGTATTAGTGCTAGATGAGGATAGTTTTGGTTTGACTGAAAGTATAGAAACAACTTACACAATTGGCACGCACTTGGTATAGCGGTCGTGGCTCATCATAAACGCATATGAAATTTTTTTGCCGACGCATTTCGAACAGGCTTTGCTAATAGCGCAGCTAAACGTCGATTACGTGATACAACTAGATATGAAATACTCTTCTACAACAAAGGAGGAAGCGCGAGAAAGAGTAAGATTCAGTCAAGGATATTATAACCAAAAAGAGTAAATTTCGAGTTCAAGGAAATTTTCGTCTCTTTAGGGACCAGCCTCTACCCATTCTCCCCTTTAGGAACCATTCCTCGCCCATTTTCCTCTTTAGAGACCATTATCCACTCCCTCTCTTTTTTAGGGACCAGTCTCCTCCCCCTCTCCTTCTTAAGGACAATTCTCCACCCACTAACCCCCTCCCCCCCTTCCTAGAAGAAAGGCGTGAAAAGTGTTGGGAAGGTATCATAGGGTTTTCAAGCGGAACAACAGGAGGAGAGCAGTTGTGGCCAACAGAGTATAAAGGGGGGAACTTTTCGGTAAATTGTATCGTGACACAACCAAAATCTTTTGACGCGAGAGTTTCTTAACCTGATGTTTCAAGCGTTAGGTCTTCGTCAGAGCGTAAGACGAAGAAGGGCTGACCGTACGGTGACCAATTTACACTGTAAACTCAGTTAATAAAACCAAATTATCGTGTACTTGCATGTAGCTTTTATTGCCAGTCTAAGCCCTTCCAAAAATCATTATAAACTATTTTAATATTTTCGGAAAATTGTTGACTCGACAACCTGCTACCTGCTCGGAGGCATTGATGAATAAATAGTGAAGCTTGAAAATTTTCCTCTTATTCCAATTTCAATTCTAGTAAAAGGTTAGTTTTCTTTAAAGCTACTATAAATTTCAATAAGGCCAAACTTTTTCGATTTAGCGAGAAATATCACAAGCAAGAATTTCTCTCCAAACTTCTCCGCTATTCGCTTTGAGCCAGAACGCTGTGTACCATCTTCGCTTTTTAATTCAGTTCATCAATGATTCATAACATTTAATAAAGTCTGGCTGATTATATTCACCTCACGCTTTGTATCGATAATGTTTAAGTTACGACGTAAATAGAAACAGCACACCGTGCAAAATTCTTGGTGTTTATGCCAATATTTTCTGTTGATATCATAATTTTAGGTGCAATCCTCTTATCACTGTCAGTAAAAATTAGTTAGCGCTAACATTACTCGGAGCGACCCGAAGAAAGCCTCCTATCTGATTTTTTCCCTTTTCCTTAGCAACAAAATGTATTCACCGTAGTTATGTTCACGTAATTCGCAGGGTGTAAAAGCCAGTGAAACGACATTTTTAATTTAGAATGTAAACATCCTTGGGTTTGAAAATAAGCTTCTCTTTAAAAGTTGTTTGATATCGCCCGAAAGGAACATTTCAAACGCGGTTGGGAAGAACTCGAATATATTAGAAGTAATTGGAAACAAAACTGGTAGACGGCTGAATAAATTTAAGGATAAAGGAGGTAAGTTTCTAAAAAACTGTAGTGCTGCGTCGGGGGGGTTATTACAAGATAGTTTGGTTATGACAACTGAGTTGATAATGTAAAGCTGTCTCCTTAGGGAGTTTCTATAGCTGACTTTTTGAGCGTTAGCCCTGAGTCAGACCAAGTGGCAAGGTTAATGGAATGCCTAATATAACAACGCTTTCAGAAACGATAAACAATTGGGCAATATTTCGGAAAAATTCAAATTGGGTAATTGCAACATTTAAGAGAGAGATAGGAAAAAAATCATTTGAACGCTACGCGGATAATTGTCGGAGTGTTATAACCTGCTGTTTATAGAGCAAACAACCGTGTTCCATGAAAAAAGGAAATTCATAGATGGTGTTTTAACTTGAATTACAATGCAGTGGTTGTTTAAGTAGTTAAAGTAAAATGTTAAAAAAAAAAGTTATGAAAATGTGCCATAAACGCGGGCTTCGAATGGTATGGAACAGCGTAATGCGGAAAAAAATGGGATTTTCTTGCGTTTTATCCAAACGGACATCAAATGATATTCTTTCAGTTTTCGGAAACAACGGAGTTGCACAAAATTGTATGCCGAAGTATTTGCAAGAAGGCGAAGTGTGCTGTGGCTGCAGCTGTTTCTGCCGCGATAAGGCTCTCTTATGTAAATGGGAAAACATAGGCAAATATTTCCATCCAGCCTTCACTGGGTTTTTTAAATTTATTTCGAGCGATTATGGAGGGTCGCAAATACGCTTCGATGTTTCTAGACTGCTTAAAGTTTTACCTTTGATGATTAATTCTTAGTCTTGGTAGTGACACGGAAATTTACGGAGCTTTTCCATGGACACGGTCATTAAAACAACATGGAAAACAAATTTTCACACAGTTAATTAAACATAGAATCGCGGAAAATAACAATGCTAGCAATTATCGCGAGTTTACGACGATATTTGCAGGATATTTGGGACATATCGTAGCAGCTCAGCGAGACTTCATTTTCACTCAGCTTCGCCATATATCGTTGATGAATCACTAATCCACACGAGGGTATCTGGATCATAACGTAAGTAACTGAGAAGAAATAATTTCTTCCCGCTAGCTGCCTTTTCATATTCAACCCCATTAACCAATTTTCTTGGCAATTGTAGTTTAACTCAACTCAAGCCAGATGTATGCAGCAGATTATGTCTTCATCTTCACAACATTTTTCATCGTTGCTCGGATTATGGCTACTGGTGTACCTCAGTGTGACCCAGCTGAGCAATCAGTGAGTGGAAAAGCTCTCAGAGGTCACACCTATAAAACGAGACGGGTACAAGATCCGTACGAATGTCTGGTGTTTTGCGACAGTGAACTCACATGTCAGAGCTACAATTACGTCAAACCTGGTCGAATATGTGAGTTGAATAACAAAACAAAGGAAGAAAAACCTGAGGATTTTGTACAAGATGAAAACAGATTCTATATGAGAAAGTGGACAAACAGAGGTAGGCACCTGCTGAAAATTAACCAATTCGGACAGCTACATAAAAGAAGAGTGACGCGAATTTCGACCAGTTTCATGCTATATGTTTAAGGTGATACGTCACAAAATAACTGGAGGTTCTAAAACTTGGAACAAATGTCCGTTCTTTACAGTGTCTGCTACCCATTTCTTGTCGTTTTGGCTTTGAGAATCTGGGGTTAGTTCATATAAAATTTTCTATTTAATATCAATTATTTCTTCTCGTCACTCATACACTTGAAAATGTAATGATCATGGAAATGAATTCATTTTTGGTGACCTCTGGGAGAAAAAGTGGTGAGCTTTTATCGGCTATTTTTGAAGGCTTCACCTATGTTCTCCCAGGTTTCAACGAGTCAAAAGTCCCTACTTTTGTTATCTCTCAGCTGCTTGTGCCGCTGTAGGAGTGGAAGACCCAAACAAAATACCTGACGACCGAATCACCTCCAGTTCCTATTATCTTTATTATTATCCAAAAATGGGACGGCTCCATGGAAGCCTGGGTTGGTGTCAGAAGACTAATACGATCACTGATGACTACATACAAGTTGATATGGGAGCAATTCGTACAGTCTGCGCAGTGGCGACGCAAGGGAAGAAAGATGGTTCTTTTGTTAAAAGCTACAAGTTGTCGTTTTCTGTTGATGAAATCAGTTGGAATGTATATCAGGATCAACTGATTGAAAAGGTTTGAAAAAGTTCCACTTTAATCTTCTCTTACCTGTTCAATTCAGTTATATTTCCTAATATGTGTGATGATGATATGTGTGATTATTTGTAATTTATCAATTTGTGTCCTGTCACTGGCCTGCTGTCAGCTTTGACGGCAAATTGAACGAACAAAGTTTCATTGATAATACTGAAATAGCCTTGGAATATTTTGTGCCCTTCGGTTTTACGCCTTCAGTGCGTCTTATTTTGGAAAATTTTGAGATGTCTATGAGAGGAAACAATTTCTAATAACTTCCTAGCAATGAAAATCATCATCTTCGTAACAATGAAAATCGGACTATAGATGAAAGTTTCTCTGTTGGAGCTCAATGAGGAGAAATTTAAGGGAGTTGGTAAAGAGGGAGGGGAGAGTGATTTCGGGTTGTTTGTGCCTCCCCTCTCGCACTGATGATAAAACCAATCTGTTAGGCCCAAAAATTACAGGAAAAAGACAATTTGAATACTTTTTCTAAGCCATTACAGTTTGAATTAAGGCCAAACGGTCAAGTCACCCGAAACCAGAGTCATGTCGCCCGATTTTTTTTATTACACCAAAATAGTTCTAAGGCTGACATGACAAAGGACTTCGGGCGACATGACTAAATATTTCAGGCGAGATGACTTTCGGGCGACTTGACTAGTTAGCTGATATATGATATGAAGGGATTATGTTTCATTATTTTACAGATCTTCCAAGCGAATTCCGACTTGAATACCATTGTACAACACACACTGAATAGTCCAGTCCAAGCAAGATACATTCGCTTCTTTCCTGTTACCTTTTCTCAGTACCCTTGCATGAGGATCGAAGTGTTTGCGCAGTAAATATAGATGTGTGAGAAGTGTTTTTTTTCTACTAGATGCAAAACGATAGTGTTGTTATTGTCACAGCAACTCCATGAATTAGAAAAAGCTTGTTTCATTTTCCTTAGTTCATTAGAGGGCGGTCATTATTTATCAGAGATGTACTGTTTTGGATTAAATTGTAGTGCCACCTTTTTTTGTAATAGAGCGTATTGATTTTTACGTAGAGTAATCAGTAAATAAGCTTTGCAATATTTTCATAATGGAATGGGAGGGGGGGAGATATTCACTGACGTATATTAACGCACGCCTTACGTCTAGTACATGTGATGGATTATTCCGACGCCCTACCTTGGCTAGAAACAGATATATGCCATGTAGATCTTTTAGGCTCATGCCCTAAAGCCAACCTTAAGCATAAGATTTGTATGTTATTACCTCGAGGAAAAGCTATCTCCATGCGGGAGGAGGTGGAGAGGGGGAGCAACGGGTAACTCAGAACTTTCCCCTACCTAAGAAATTGCAGTAAAATTGTGTTGAGACAAACTCATTTCAGTAATTTTTGATAATTTTCGTAGTTTAAGCCAATTGTAGCGGCATGAGTACGTAGAATATACAGCGATGTAAGGCTGCTAATTAAAAAAGTGCGTCAGGTACTTTAGCACTAAAAAACTTCCCTGTTGTGAAAACTAAATAAAAACAATCACGAAAGGATAGTAACTTATCGCTTAGGTAGGATATTTTTCTTTGACTTACTACATACATTAAGACTATCCATTATAAAGTGAAGCTATTTCGTGCTAATAATATGCAATTAGACTGCATTAAAATTATCACCATTTATAATTGATAAATAAAAGTTCTTTCCGATGCCCTGACGTGAAACTGCTTTTATAGTTTCTGCATGGCGGAGCTCGAAGCACGCTCGAAGCGTGCTGACTTCACAGCCCCATAACGCAATAACTTTGGTAGCTTATTAAGCCCAGAAAACTTGGTCGTAATGTCAACGCAAGTTGATGAGTGCAAGAGCCACCTTTAGCATGTACAAAAAGCTGCCTTGAATGCGCGTGAATTCTAAAGATAATAATGGGGAAGAAAAAGGAAAAATTTACACTCAACTTAAGAACTTTCTATCAGGGTGGATTGATTTGACACATTTCTAAGGTCCCATTTTGATGGGGGTGATTATTCTAGAAGCCCAGATGAAAGGGCAGGGGATAAGCTAAAAAAAAAAAAAAAGACATCTCTGAAGACTGCCCGGTTTTATTTTCATTGCTGATATGTCCTTGTACTGTACCAAATCTTCTCACACGTACATGTGATGACCTAGGGCTGGCAAAACTTTTCGATTTTGTGAGATAAAAACGTAACTCGAATACATGTAATGCTTACCTCCCGAGTGCTACAAATCTAAATGTGTCTGAAACACTATTTTAGTTTTGCAAGTCGCATTTCTTGTGCTGTTTAAGTTTGTTTTTTTCTGAATCCATTTAGCATATTGTTTCCAAGCTATTCCAGAGCATCTATGTTACCAGAGCAACCTTACTTTTATAATTAAGCAGTTGCAATTTCACAAATATCTGAGGGTAATTGTCGATGTGGGCAGTCCCTCTTGAAAGATTTCTCGGAGGTATAAATGAATAAATGATGAAGCTTTTATTACATACTCTTATTTCAGTTTAAATTCTAGAGCAGGCCGAGTTTTTCTAGAAGCTACTGGTACCTTGAAAAGACCAAGGGTTTTCGATCTAGCAATGAATTTACATGTCAAAGTTGTCAACTCAATTCGCCACTGTTCGTGAGAATCAATAGGTTTTTTTAACTTGACTGATCCATGATTCTTAACTGTTAATGTATTGTAGATTGTTATGATGCCGATACATGACAATTTACTGAGAATTTCGTAAACATAGCTATTAATCCGAACAGAAAAATTTCCTCATAGTAAAGACTTATAATCAAAAATCACTGAGTCATCAAATCGTCCGTAGTGCGGTATTGTGCAGTATCAAGGTAACTGAGATAATTGACGATTATTGCAAAGACTGCAAGTTTTCAGCGATATTTTCTCGTTATCTCAATTGGGAAAAATTCCACAGCAGCTCAGGGATATTTTTTTCTTAGCTTCGCAGTATATAACTGCAGCGTAGCAATGGGTCACTTTCTCCAGTTCCGTGAAACAAAATCATTCCTCTCAAAGAATTGTCTATAGTCCTTCTCAATTCCTGAAACTGATTTTCTTAACCATTGCAGTATTACTCAATTCAAGGCAGATGTTTTTCCAGCACTGTATTTCTTTTACTTTCTCATCACTGATCCCTAAGTGATGGAAACTCAGCTGAGCAATCTGTGAGTGAAAAGGCTCTTAAGGGTCACACCTATAAAACAAAAAGGGTGCAAGACCTGTACGAATGTCTGGTGTTTTGCAACAACGAAGTCGCATGTCAGAGCTACATTTACATCATAACTGGTAAAATATGTAAGCTGAATGACAGAACTAAGAAAGAGAAACCTGACGATTTTGTCCAAGATGAAACTAGGTATTACGTGAGGAAGTGGAAAATCAGAGGTAGTCACTTATCAGTACTTGAACCAGTTCACTTCACTCAATTAAAAAGGTATTGTAGCGTCACGCAAAGGGCCATGCAAATGGCTATGAGTGTGTTACTGTATATTTGAGGCAATACGCCATGGAACAGCTCTAGCCCCTAAAAGGTGAGGGTGATAAAATAACTATAGGTCCTAAATATCTTGAGGCATATCTTAATTGCTGAAAGAGATGCATCACAAAAAAGCTGTAAGTCTGTACAGCTAAAAGAGATTTTTCACCAAAAAGCTATCAATTTCTTCTTTTAAATATGTTGTTAGCGATTTTTACCCAGTTAACATATATCGTCAAAACTTTGAGATGATATTCCGTAAATTAATATCATTTTCTTTCTTCTCGTCGCCGTGTCTTGAAGTTGTACTGATATCGTCAGGATAAATTCATTCGTTATGACTACTGGGAGAGAAAGTCGTGAGCTCTTATAGGCAAGATTAATAGACTTCAGTTACGTTTCCATCTGAGATTTGATGCGTCAAAACCTCGTATTTTTTGTATCTCTCAACAGTTTTTGCCCCCGTAGGAGCAGAAGATCCACACAAGATACCTGAAGCCCAAATTACCGCAAGTTCTTATTATCTAAGTTATTATCCGCACATGGGACGGCTTAATGGAGTAAAAGGTTGGTGTCAGAAAACTACTGCAATCACCGATGACTACATACAAGTTGATATGGGAGCGCTGCACACTGTCTGCGCAATCGCAACGCAAGGGAAGAAAAATGGGTCATTCGTCAAAAGCTACAAGCTTTCTTTCTCTTATGATGAAAGCAGCTGGAGTGTATATCAGGAACAAAACATTGACAAGGTTTGAAATAATTCTACTTTAATCTTCTCTGGCCTGTTTAATTTAGTTGTTTGGTGTGCAAATCATCCTCATAAGATGAATTTATGACAGTCACATGTCAGTTTTAGGTTTATAAATTGCGCGAAAAAAAGCTCGTTGATGTTATTGAAGATGATTATAAAATACTTACAATCCTATAGTACTGGACGAAACACGTATCAGTCATATCATGGTAATAATACTCAGTGTTATATATCTCAGTTAGTGTGTGCGCTATGATCAGTCAATTAAGTGGGCCGTATTCAATAGTACAACCCTCTAAATTTAAAAATTGTTTAGATTAAAATCTTTCCCCTCTATTTGAACCTGAGATATAATAATTGTCATTTCATCCTTGCTTCGCGCTTGGGCCATAAGATCGTGCGAAAAAACGAGGTTCCAGTAGTCACAATACATACCAATAAAAGGAGGTAACTAAGATTTTTTTTTTACATTTCTGGGTTCAAATGGAGGTTGGGAGATATCAATTCTAACAAAGTTTAGAATTTAGTGGGAAATTTAGTGCAATTCGGTGCGCTATTTTGACCAATCATACCACAAGCACTAACTGACTGATATGATGAGGGGTATTCATTCTATAATTTCTATGACAAACAATCTAAAAAAAATTAAAAAAACGGGAAAAGTGATCTAGAGCCGTGCTTCCTTTCCACCAACGAGAAGCCATTTTTTCAGATATCTAACATTGGAAATATTACTCAGCAACTCAACGAGAAGTTATATCGATGACTGCCTCCGAAAGGAATCTGCTCTCAACGTCCGTGGTTTCATGAGGTGTAAATTAAGAGAGTTGCTGTAGAGGGAGAGGGGAGGGTGATTCTGGGTGATGTATGACTGACTTCCCTAAAGATGAAAAATGATGTTTAATTAGTATGATAAAACAAATCTGCCAAATTTTTGTGTAGGCCATCACGCGTGACATGTGATGTCTGAATTTAATTTTGTGCTTGCAGATTTTCCAAGCGAATTCAGACTTGAACACCGTGGTACAGCACACACTGAATAACCCAGTCCACGCAAGGTTCGCTTTCATCCCGTCACCTTTGATAATTTCCCTTGTATGAGGGTTGAGGTGTTTGCGCGGTGTATACAGAATCATCTCGAGTGATTTTTTTTTCTGGAAAAAAAACTACTAGGAGCTATGCAATACATTTGTTTCATTTTCTCTGGTTCATGAGCGAGGCTTGGGTGTTTATATGAGGAATAAGTCTTGTTTTTTAAGTACTTCGATTATTCCTTGTTTTGAAAACTAGTTTAAAAAAACTATAAAAGGATAAATACGTAACGTCGACGTATGATTCTTTAATATACTAGATGCACCAACACTATCCAAACAAAGCGAAAATTTGGTGCCACAGTCGAACCTAAGTTATCCGGACTCGTTAAGACTGGGTTGAATAGTCCAGATAATCGTGAGGCGGATGATAGAAAATACGAATATTCGTGACTCAAATTTAAAACTAAATAGGTATCATGTAGTTAATACATATTAAACAAGAATAAAGGTACATTCCAAATCATTTTTGCATCATTGTTTAAATTTGCCAAAAGCGCATACAAGAAGTAGTTAAATAATTGAAGATTTACATTGATATAAAAATGCTGGGATGAATCGATTTGTATCTAGCTGCTACAGGAAGTGCGCGTCCCTAATTCTAACATTCCGTTGGGGCTCAGTAATTTCATTGATAAGACAAGTGAGTTACTACATCGCGAGCTCCGCCTTTTTGGCTTGGCTTAAATTATATCTCTCGTTAATATACCCAAAGAATAGTGGCGAAACAGGTCTCCAAAGCTCTGACAGAGAATTGTTGTTATAATAGCTCCAATTATATTGGGTTTTATGAAGGCTATTTACAGAGTTTTTATCAACACTGCTTCTTTACCTTTTTTCCTAATCATATCCTCTTAATAATCTTGCAACTAAGATGTTATCTCGTAGAATACCTCCAGATCAGTCGGGGTAAATAGTTCACTCCCTGAAAAGAATACGCACTTGGCGAACGCAGTGTAACCAGTAGGGACGGCGTAAGTAGACCCGCATGTGGTGAAGGAATTTTGAATGTTTCCAGCGTTATTTCGTAGCTGGATGTCATGTCGCCCTTGATAACCCCCAAACGTTGGTCCATAGCTACTGCAGCGGTAGATTGCATACCCTTGATACTGGTACTGAGCTAGTTTAACAGGTTTATAACCATGCGCGTTGTAAAGAGAGAAAATGAAGGCTTTGGCAGCTGATGTGTACCCACAAGAACCTGCAGCCAGAGAAATTTTTTAGAGGAAAGCTTAGTGATGTAAGATGGTAGACAGTGTCTCCTGAGGGTCTTTGCAGTTTACTCATAGAACGATAGTCCTCCTCCCCAACCCCCCTCGTCTTTGCCAGGGGCGTTAACCTCGGTCATTGCATCTTACTGAACAGTAGATAACTAACAACTTAGTTTGTTTTTATCTTGAAATGGACCGGCTTTCTTCCCGTCGTTTTTTTCGTAATGGTCTCGAGATTAATTTTTCAAAGATTGTTTGTTGTACAACTCTTTTACTTTAAGCTGTGCATAATTTTCCTCTGTTTGCAGCGGCCCATTAAAGAGTGCTTTAGGTATTCAAATATTTTTAATCTTAGTTCCTGTAGTTGCTTCAATCGCATTTTGGAAATCTCTTCGCCATATGATTTTGTAACAGAGAGACAATTACTTTAGTTTCCACCAAAGCTGCCGAATGCTTTAAATTTAGAATTTGCTAAACTCTACTTTTCCTTGTCAGGCCTCGTCTTGGCCTTTTGTTTTCGGACTCCATTCCGTGCCATCCGCCATTTTCAGCTATTTAAAAGGATTTAAGCTGATTGAATGAGTGCGCTTTTCACAAAAAAAAAAAATTTCTGATTCCATCAATATTCGACACTACTTTACTATGCCCGCCGTCCCATTAGCGCTATAAACGGAGGAAAACTACATACCTCTCATAAACATTTTTTTTTTTACGCGTGTTGCAAAGTACTTGAAGGATAATAAAAACAATAGCGTCTGTTTGGCGCGAAAATATGCACGGATATCTGTCCATGGACACTATCTGTTTTTTTTTCACAGTGGAGAGGGACAGGGAGGCGGGAACCCAGGAGAACAAGGGGTGGGAGAGGACGGGAAGCAGGAGAACAAGGGGCGGGAAGCGGGGGATCTATATGAGGGTGGGAGGCGAGAGCAGAAATAAAGAAGGCAATAGTTTGTTGTTTATTACTGGGCATCATTCAGTTAAAAACACTTATCTAGCAAAGTTTTAAAATTCCCATTTAACATCCACCAATGCTTAAAAGAAAATTTTGGGAGCAAGACTCGGGTTGGAAAAACAGCATTACTTCTGGTGAATTTGGAAATCCCTTCAATTCGATTACGTCAGAGGTCATGAGATAGCATGGCACTTGGCACATGTGTCATGCCATCTCATATCTATTCAGAGAATGAACAAGAATGTTAAGTTTTGGTACGGTTTGAAAGTTAACCTGGGTTTCTGATCCTCTTCATTCACCTGAAGACGGGAGTAACACAATGAAGGGTGGGAGTCGGGAGGCAAAGGAGCTCAAAAGTACAGGAGGTGGGAGAACATGGTACGGGAAACGGGAGACTCTAACCCCCCTCTCCCCCCCACCTGACAGTTTTCTCGAGTTTCGCTTTAAGGAAAATGTGAGTATCTTAGAACGGATAATGTCGGCGGACAAATATCCGTGCATATTTCCGCGCCATATGGAGAACATTGTTTATCTAGCCACCTCCTCTTTGGTGAATAGTTAACAACTGACTAAAAATTCATACTTTGCCAGGACACGTCGGTATATCCACCAAATGTGTAGTTACCGACTTGAATAATGGAAACAGTGGGTCCCTTTCCATCACATTTCGAATGGAATGTTGTTGAATCCCAGCCATCTGTCTTGGCGTGATAACATCTAACGAATCTACTCGAGGAAAGGTTAGTCAGGACTGAGTCTAGGTAAGACGAAAGAGTGCCAATGTAGTATTTTGGTGAGTTGTTCAGAATGCTCGATGATGCGAGGCCACCTGTTGGTAAAAAACCACGTTATAATCTGACGGCACTAAATCTAAGTAGTAATTATCCTCCCTGCAATGTAGTTATAGGGGGTGGACAAAACTCCTTTCCCGCATCTTTTAACGCCTAGAAATTAAAGTAAGCTGTACATATTTGAGTAGCCAAGACTTATAAGGCCGGTCGTTTACACGAGATCTAACCCAAACCACGGTTTTATGCAATCAGTGGGCGTAAGGCTTTCCCTATAAGAGGGTTGATTCTATTAAATGAATGTCCTTCCACTCTTAGCTCTCGGCCCTTTCAACACTGTTCACAAGTATAAACGTTCCGATAAAAGGTTCAGCGAAGTTTAGGATTGATTAGGATGCGGTTCTGTTGAACAACGACTTTTTTTAAATAACCGGCCCCCATAGACGTATTTTGATCTTAAGTGGGACGAATATGAAATATCGAACATTCTGTACGAACACATTAATTTCAAACCCCTCCAAGCATCTCGTTGGTCATTCCCCTAATCTATGAATAACTTTGCTGCTATCTTTCTCATTTGACCTATCAGACGAGATTTAACTAATTTGCGGAAGGCTAAGTGAGAAATTGAACGAAAGCTTTAACAAAAAAGGTAAGAAGATCGAGGGTTCATGTCTTTGTGTTGCTGCTTAATATATCATTTTGTACCAGAGCAATTGGGAAATCGATGGTTCATGTTCACTTGAATTCACTGCTGTTCTAGGCGATACTTACGGTCACTTGTGCAAATATATGAACCCACTGTATTGCTGCAGTAGCTATTGGCCTCACAATAGTACAAGTCGTATTCACACTCATCAACATCTAGAAAGAGGTGAATTGTTTTTTAAAAACGCGGAAAATAATTAAAATAGGTATTGTTTTTGTACTTGTTCTTCAACCATGTTGTACCCGTATATCGTATCGCTCTTAGTTGCTCTTAATTGTATAGCCGAGATAAAACCAAAGATATAAAAGGGAAAAAGTGTAACGTCCCGTTACCGTCAAATGTCACTTTTTTTGGTTTATAAATAAGGCAAAAAAAAAATTCTTGATGATATTATTGAAGATAATCATAAGATACCAAATATCCCATGGTATTGGACGAAGCACGTACCAGTCATGTTATGTCAATAATACTCAGTACAGATATCTCAGTTAGTATCTGCGCTATGATCATTCAAGGACGCGGGCCGTATTCCTCAGTAAGTATTGCTAATTTAAAAGGTATTTGAATTGGTATCTTTCCCCGCTTAGTTGCTTTTATTTTATAGCCGAGGTAAAACCGAATGTACGAAAAGGATGGAGAAGTGTGACGTCATGTTACAGTAGAAAGCGGAAACCCCGCCATTCACTAATTCTATCCCTTTTTTCAAATGCACGCATACTCAATGCATTCAAAGACGAGTCCATGCTCTCGGTTTTCACCGGGGGCGAAGTCTTAGTGCTACATGAGATATATCTTAAAAACAAATAACAAAAACAACAGAAAACAGTTAAAATATGTTATGTCTTATCAAGTCTCTAAAGTTTGCCTGTTCAAGTATTAGACTATCTGAAATTTGACAAATTTAGTCACACAAAATTCTCGTAGTTCTAGATGAATAAATTTCTCCTTTTCCCTCGAAAAGTTCAGGTGGCCACAAAGTTTCCTCTTCGAAATTATTGTTTTTCATTTCGTTGTGGTAGATAGGAGACTTTGAATAAATTAAGCTTTAGTTTAGCCAGTCTAGGTTTTAAAAAGATTTGAAATCAGAGGCTTATATAAACTATAAGTTACCTTCCGTTTTCATGTCACAGTAGGCGAATGTTGCCGTGTCCGTCCAGGGATTATAATACCAGTATTTGCCGCTAACTGTTTGCTCTCCTTCACTCAACTTGATTTCCCTACAGTTTTTAGCAGGAAGTTCAGGAATAGAGCCAAGAGCAGCTGTGTAGAAATGATGAAATAAAATAAGATAAAATGAAAGGAGGTAATTTTGCTAAAAAGTATGTGGTGAAGCTCATCCAAGAGAGATGGTTTTTAAACTTTACTTTCCATAAGGGAACTTGCATCGTAAGACGAGCAAGTAGACTACATTTTTATCGTGTATTTTTAGTTGTCCGGAGTAATTTTCATTGGTCTGTCAGGCAGGAATTTATTCAGCTGATGACACACTTTTTGATACTCATGGTTATTTTAATATTTTATCATTGAATATCCATGGTCGTCAGCTGATATTCCTTCGCTCTCCATTGCTCTTTTTTTCAATATGGGGGACAAACATCAGCGTCATATCAAGTTCAAGGGTTATGTCAGGGTGTGTTATTGTCCTGGGTTATTACTTTTTACTCAGGTTATAACTTTTTATTGAAAACTGGATCATTGAGGTAAATGCGTTTTCACTGGCTTAGCCATCAAGGGTTATGAACCTTTATACCATAATTTGTACATTGTGACATTGTGTTCATTTTCAAAAAATAAATCTGGCAAGATTTATCTATACTTGGGATGTTTAGCTAATGAAACAGTTATTCCACCCACGCTTGTTGGATATGAAATAATTACAGACTGTACGGCTCTAACGGCGTCGCTGGCTATCTTTGATCTCATATCCAACAAGCGTGAGTGGGATAATTGTTTATTATGAAAGGGAGGTTTTACCTTATAACCTGTATTAGTCGCGCCTCACAGGAGTCAACAATATGGTACTTGCGTGACACTAAAGTGTTTGAAATTACCTCTATTTTTTGATTTTTCATAATAGTATCGTTCAGAACTCGGCAAAAAGTCTGCAGGTCTGGCTTTCTTCGTACGATCATTCAACTCGCATGTATTTTTTGAAATGACGTAATTAAAGCTTTGACATCTGACGTCACCCTCACAAGCCTGGGAACACTCAAACGGGAGTGCCGTCTGTAGGGTTTTGAAGATGTTTCCACGCAGCATATAGCCATAAACAGAGTTATCGCCGCTACACGTCTGAGATGCTATTCTAGAAAATTGATCGGCCAGCCACAAGATCACGAACACTGTTTGTAACTTTGTGAAAACCTGCATCTTGGTATGTGTCACCTGGAAACAAAAAAATTACTCTCCAGCGAACAGCGACAGTTGATTTATAAAGAAGTTTAACTGAGGAAGGCTTTGATTATGAAATAAATTTGACAAAGAAGAAAGTTTGATAATAAAACAAAAAAACAAAACAAAACAAAATTAAAAACAGGTACGGCAGACTCAAACGATTTGCACCCTAAAATGGATTGTATGCATCGCATTCAATAAGTTCTGGCATTTTCTTATGCTTGTTCTGACAAGTTCTAAACATTGTTTTAAATGTCTACATAACTAGACAATCATAATGCTTACAGAAGAAAAAGTCAATATAACAAAACGGGAAACTTATGATACTTGCATTGTCAACTGTAGGTATACTAACAATAAAAAATACAGTACTATAGTATTGCTTACAATACAACATAACATTGAAACATTCTTTAGAAACTTACCCCCTTCAAAATTTTCACTGTCCGTTTAAGGGCAGGATTTAGTCGCTCAAGAATCAGTTGGTGTCAATTCTACCGTCTTCGAGAAGAGCCTTATCTAAAAATAAAATAGGGAGAATAAAAACGTTGTTTGTGGTTTGATTTATTCCCTGGTGAGTTCACCAGATCTCCTGCCAGAAGTTACTATAGTAATCTAACTACAAATGCAAATACGGCGAGAGGTTCTACGCGATTGGAGTACAACTTGAACGGCAATTGAAGTATCTTTTGAGAATACACCGCTCTTTCTCTCCGTTTACCGTCGTTATGACCCACGCAGGATTTTTGGAGAACACCAGAAATGTTTGTAACTCACGAGCCAAAGGCGAATGATTTATAAACTTCTCGGGTCAAAATTAACTTAAAAGAATTTTCAATTTTCTATGGATTGATGATTCAAATTCACCTTTTACTGAAAAGCATTATAGCGACGATTTCTGAAACTTGAATCCTTCAAGGTTGAGTCCTGAATGTAATCTCTACTCTCTATTCTATTCTCTCTGAATCTCTACAGGAGACTAACTTGGAGTGATTTGGAGGTGAATTTTCCTGGAAGTTATTCCAAAAAATAGATTAACAGCAAAAATACTAATGTCTTTTGCCAAAGCTGCGAGTTTATTGAAGTTAGGAATCCATCAATTTGCATAAGTTTGGATGACAGGGCTACTTCTGAGGAATTGTATTCCTGATCAGAAATTTTTTAAAAATTGGTTTGCTAATTTTATAATACAGATTTATTTTGAGTTCATCTGTCATGCATCGCATGGCCAGAGTACTAAAGAACTATTTGGCTGTTCAGAATTATTTGGTTTTGGTTTCAAAATAAAGAATTCAAAAGCTTAAAGTCAATGTGCAATGTGTAAAGTTGGTCACAAATCGGACAGAGAAGAAAGAGCTATACTGCAACAGAATTATTTGGTTTTGGTTTCAAAATAAAGAATTCAAAAGCTTAAAGTCAATGTGCAATGTGTAAATGTTGTCACAAATAGCACAAAGAACTTAAAACGTTACTGCAGACAGAATTCTTTAGTTGTAGATTCAAAATGAAGTATTGAAAAGGTTGAAGACAGCCTTTACGTGTAACGTGTAATTGTTTTCACAAATTCGACATAGAGGAAAGAGCTGTAATGTCAACGGAATTCTCTAATTTTGCTTTCAAAATAAGGATTTTTAGAAGGATGAGATCAAACTTAAGGTGTAATGAGTACATTTTGGTACTGATGCGACGAAAAGGAAAAAGCTGTACGGTCAACAGAATTATTTAATTTGCTTTTAAGATAAAGTTTTTAAAAGGTGAGGCCAAACTCGTGGTGTTATGTGCAAATTTTGGTACAAATTGGACAAAGAAGAAAGAGCTCTAATACAAACGCAATTCAAGTTTTGGTTTCAAATTTAAGCTAACCTTAATGAGGAAATTTTGTCACACATTGGACAAAGAAGAAAAGAGCTCTGATATATATATATATATATATATATATATATATATATATCTGATATATATATATATATATATATATTTGTCCATATATAAAACGCATCGAGCACTATACCGCAAGGATAGACTACAATCAAGATTTATTTATATATATATATGTATATATAAAATGTAGGTTTCAAAAAGAAAAAAGAAAATTAGTTATATAAGACTTGAAGTTCTCAGACACTCATTATGAATATTTCAGGTGTCGGGAATGTTTTGGGTTCTTCGTGAATATTCTATGGCGTCACGTTTTCGTCTCAAAGAGACGAATGCGCTGGAAATTAATTTTCTCTGTGTATTGTATAAGTAAAAAACAACGTCAAACTTTCTTCAGTGCCAAGTTCATAGCGCAATTCTGCTTTATTTGGACACCAAATGATGTTACACTTTATTAATGAAGAATGAATTCAAGCGATGTTTAACGTTAGAAACCAAGAAACAGTAAAAACTGCTGCTCTTAACGATTAACTATTAACACAAGGGATTGTATAATCGCTAGCATTTGCAAAACTGAAAGCGCTTAAAAATGTGCCATAAGATTTTAAAGCATCAAGAGACAGTTAAGTTTTCGATTTTAAAGGGTCTTGACGAGATGTGAGCGCCACTAAGCAAACACGATTTATTTGATGACTTGAAAGTAAACGATAAAGGAAGTTAATGTGGTTTGAAGCCTTCCAAGCGCCCGGTTGATAATATCTAGTACATCTACGAGTACTTTTTCCATCAACTTACCCCATACGACATGTTCTTCTCTCAACGATAAGTCTCTCTCCATCGCAGTTCTCGCTTGAGTGAAATGATGTTTATCCTGTATTGCTCTTAAAATTACATCACAATCAATAATTAAAGCAAGTCACAATGGTTTTCAATACTATCCTCCACGCAGGATCTCAACCTACGTCACTAAGACAAGGAGCAGACTAAATTAATTTACCTCTTATGTTTCGATGGAAATGTCACATACAGGATGTGATGTTTAGTCTTCTTTTCGCCACTGACAAAAAAACATTCTTCCTAAACAATGTTATTGATAAAATACGTTAGAAATGAAGATCGCGAATAAATGTTTGTACATAGAGAGCTCTTGTGTAGTTAAGACTCTTAAAAAATTGACAGGGGGCAAAATTAGTTGAAATTAAAAATATAAAAAAAAAGCTTAACTTTACACTCTCACGTTTTTGTACAAAAATAAATTTCACTCAACTGATTCGTGCGTTTTATGAATTATCATGTGAAAATGTTCATGTGAAATTTATGACCCGCCTAAACATAATTATGCAGAGAACGATCTAATGAACTATCTTATTGACTACACGGATAATGTACTTGACGCCCACCCACAAACCGTCATTGTTCTGGGCGGAGATTTCAATCAGTTGGACATGGATGGATTACAACAATTGTCTGGCTGGTATGCACTGGTTGATTTCCCGACGCCTGGCGATTCACACTTGGATAACTGTTTAACGCACCGGCCCGATTTGTTTGCAAGGTGTTATCCTCTTTACGTGTCAACAAAATCGGATCATCGAGGTGTGATTTTGCCAGCAAGATCTAAACTTTGCCCTGTGTGTCGTAAAGTTCACACCCGGGACAGACATCTACATAGGAAACAGGATTTGTTCATGGCTTAGGTTGAAGAGGACTGGCCAGAGGTACTTGATACCAAGAATGTAAACGAGGCGGTGAACAAAGTGGAGGTAACCATACGGGGTCACTTGGATAGGTGTATGCCAGTAAGGGTAGTCACTATGTCATCACGTGACCCTGCCTGGATGACCCCTTTTGTTAAAGCCATGTTGAGGTCGAAATCGAGGGTGTCCGATGAAGCTCGGCTGAAAGAGTTGAATAAGAGGATTTTGGATGTGATCAGTGAGAACAGAAAGCGACATAAACAGGGTGTGATCGGCTCGAGGCAATAGTGGAAAGGCGTTCATCTGGTATCGCAGCGAAGGAATGCAGCCCTTATTACCTTAGATCGTGAGTCACTTAACCAGTTAAACGAGTACTTCGGCAAAATCTATGCAGTGACAATAACTACATTCAACCAGTTGATGTTCACATTGATCCAGATGTCAAGGCTCCAACAATCCCTGCGGGACTTGTCTGGAGCACTCTGTCTAATCTGAAGAAAACGGCAACCGGCCCGGACGAAATTCCTTTTTGGTTTTTTAAAAGAACACGCGGAACTACTAACTTCAGTTATCTCTTATGTGTGGAATCTTTCCCTGTCAACTCATTCCTGGCCTGAATCTTGGAAAAGAGCGAACATCAGGCCATTACATAAGGTTGACGTACCTAAGGAGAATGGTGATTTCCTGGGAATCAATGTAACACTGGTGATTGCTAGAGCTCTTGAAAGGGCTGTATACAACACACATGTCAGACTCATCATGGAGGATCACCTGAGCAGAGGCCAATTTGCGTACAGAGTTGCGTATGAAAGCGATCTAAACACAGTCCAGAACTTTTTAAACATGTTACAAGTGGCGTTATATTTCAGTTCCATTGAATGTCAAGGATATCACGCATATGCAGGATAAGAAATTAGTGGAGCTAAGGCCCTAAGCCATCATTCGTTAAATAAAACTCTGCCGAAGCCTAAACCCCAGCAATATAATTTACGCGCAAGGTTTGCCTCCGCCCAAAGATTAACACAGAACGTTTCATGAACACATTTGTGAATAGACTAATTTTTGAACACAACCTGTTAAAATTACATTATTTAATTTTGGCCATAGTATATTATTGTAGCTATCATTACACAGTTTCTTGCTTATGTAACATAGGATATTTATCTTTTATCTCATGGTTTACTAAAGACTTCCAAGACTTCAAAGAAATGGCCTCTTAGGAAATTGTGCAACAGCGTGCGTTTTTGATCTTCTTAATAAAGTAAGTACTTTTGTTGCAACTAAGATGCAACCTCTGAAAATGTTAGCATAATATACACGTTAAACAAGGGAGATCACAGTCAAGTGTAACTTTCAATCCTAGATCAGTGTTAATCGCTTTCTGAACAACTTTTGTATATCCCATGTTTTCTTTTTCCTTAGTTTTCACTCCATTTCAAAGAGCTGAATTGTCTCTTACGCTTAAAAATATTTTTTCCAACTCCTTCAGGTGGGATCGCCAATTATTCAGTATAATTTAGGATATTTTAAAATCAGAATTTTAAGATTGGTGTAGCATGTTCTGGCACTCTAACAGTCCATTGTTTCTTTACCTACATAGTATAATTTCCACCTAAACATACAGGCCCGTTAGGTTACCGAAACCACCGAGAAACGGCCCGTAAACTACGCAGGAAGGGGTCGAAAACTTTTTCATACTTTAACAGTTGGGCCATGTCTGGATTGCCCTGTTGTTGATTTTCTCATTTACTGCACGAACACTTCGATCCTCATACAAGGGTACCGAGAAAAGGTGACCGGATAAAATCGAATGTATCTTGCTTGGACTGGGTTATTCAGTGTGTGTTTTATAATGGTATTCAAGTCTGAATTCGCTTCAAAGATCTGCAATAAAAAAAAAAAAAAAAAAAAAAAAAAAAAGGAGAAACCACTTAATCATAAGGGGAACTTTATTCTCAGTTAAGCTGCTTCAAAGAGATTCCCCCCTTCCCTGATACAGTTTGTTTTCTAAATCTGTGTAAAGATCTAACATGTGTAACTGAACGAAGT